AATGAGACGAGCCTCGCCACACAAAACATATAAATTGCGGGGCCCTCATTAAATACTTAATTAAAATACTTAGAAATTCGGGACATGCCATTTAGCGAATTTTCATGGCTTCCCGCAAAGTGAATAAGACGCTAGCCATTTTAGGCGCGCTTTTTTAATAATTTTACCTTCTTAAATACGGGTGCACATTTATGCGACCCAAATCTAAATCCCAAAACGTTGAATAAGAGGTATTGCGGATCCGGGTGCATTTCATGTGACGTGATCCAAAAACACGCTCTTAAACGGCGTTCATTTTCGTAAAAATAACTAAAGCGGTAAATAAGCTCAAAAATTGCATTGTAGGTTGGAATGTGTATAAAAATCAGATTTTTAGCCATCTATAATAATTTAAGCGACCGTGCTGGAACCACGGGATCCGGGGGTGCCTAACACCTTCCCTCGGGTCAACAGAATTCCTTATTCAGAATCTCTGGTTCGCAGACTCCAATTGGGAAGTCGATTTTTTCCTCGATTTGGGATTTAAATTAAATCGGTGACTTGGGACACCAAAAGCCAACCCTTTCCCAAGTGGCGACTCTAAAAAAAAAATAAATAAATAATCCCATTTCGAATAATGTCACTTTAAATGGACAAACTCCCTTATACATTTTATCCTTCGGGGTAGGTGTGTAAAAAGGAGGTGTGACATATACAAATGATAAGTTTCTCCCATTTTAGCAATTCTCATCCCACACATCTGACTTTCTAATGTAGGCAGGGATCATAGAACTCAAGCAAAAAAAAAAGCAAATAGAAAGGAAGTGGAAAAACTGACACAGAATGCTTTCTGAGTTCGAACAACTCAAACATAAATAAAATAAAAATAACTGCTTTACATAGAAGATATGCCTTCTGTATGAGAAGAGATCAGATATTAACTAAATCAGTGGATACATTAATCTTCAAATATAAAAGTATAGTTGATGGAATGTCTGATGAGAATCAAGTTTTCTACTTCTTTTTTCTTAGAAAAGGTAAGTTTTATTGAGTATCAGCACTAACGTTGGGGCTGTAAATTAGGAAATGAGATCTAACAAGATTTCAGTATCATTTACAAGTTCCAGTTTACACCAAAACATAATAAGATCTTAACAGCCAAGTTCTAGTAATTTACTACTTAAGAGCATGAAAAGTCTAATATTTAACTAAGTTATATGTCTAGTTTTAAGTGCCAAGTTATGTTATCAAAACACTCATAAACTGCATTAACATGGAAACAAGTGGTTAAAGAAGTGATTGATCCCAGTGCAAATATGGAGTTCAGAGCCAACACGGCAGATGATCCTCACAAGACGAAGCCAGATATCAGCAAAGCAAAAGAAGCTAACCGGTTCACGAAATGCCATATAAGAAAACTAGAAATACCAACAACGAGTCACAAA